GGGAAAGAACCCTTAAATGGTTTGTATACTGAGATCAACAGCAGTTAACAAGCAAACAGAACGGTAACAAATGCAAGAACTCCACGGTGAGAAAAATGGCAGAGCATAGCATCAGAATGAAAAGCAGCCCTGTGTGGCTAGAAGATAAAGCTGGAAACGGGCTCAGTAAAGAGGATACTGAAGCCGTGTTCACCTGTTTCCAATGAATGCTGGGAGCCCGAAGAGTTTTAGCAGATTGTTAAAACCAGGTATGCATTTTGAAAAGGTCAACTTGGTACAGTATAGAATGCTATATTTTGAGGGTCCCTCCACAATTCATTTTAAATTTAAAAAAATTTTTAATTTTGGTACAGGATATGTGTGCCGCCAGGGAGACAGACAGTGAGAAATCACCCTCGGGAGGATTCTCCTCTTGGCATTTTGAGCACATATGTAAACGTGCCCAGCGTGATTTTCAAGCCGCTATGTCTGGGACTGAAACCACATAGTCAACCATGTGGGACCCAGTGCCTTAACCTCCACACCGCTTGCTAGCCCCTCGTGTTGAAATTTAATTGCCATTATGATGGCATTATAGGAGGTGAGTCCTTGGCTCAGTTGCTGTGATGCAAATGCTCTGAAGGCTGGAAGACACACCGCCAACCATGGGTTCAGGTCCCTAGGTTGGCATGAAAGCAGGTGGAAGCACCCACAGGCACCCAATATCCTGAGGAACTGGAGGATTGGGGTAGGGGAATGCAGCATAAAGGGATCCTGTCAGGGGTGCCTCACTCCCGCCAACCCTGCTTTCTTTCCTCCCTCTCTTTTCTCTTGTGCACACATGCTCCTAATCATTTTTAAAAGAGAATTAGGATTCACTGTAAGCACTTTTTTTTGTTTGTTTTTAAGGTTTTTGCCAAAGGGGACATGCACTCACCAGGGAGAGATAGAAGAGAGAAAGTGATAAATCATCCTTGGAGGAATGGGATGGCCACACTGCAATACCTTCTTCCACATTCTCTTGTGATTTGGGGCATGCATACACACGCCCGGGTGTGTTTTAGTCTACCAGGTCTAGGACTTGAACTGTGCAGTCCACCATGTGGGACCCAGATGCCTTAACCACCACACCACCAGCTGGCCCCATATGTTTAAATTTTGCCCTTACTGTAAAACGAAATAACTTCAGAAGAGTCCATTAACACCAGCACTCAAACGTCTGTAATCAACTAGCACTTTCTGTTCTTCTCCCTCTTATTCCTGTAGAAGATGAAATCCCAAGGAAAAACCTTGTTAAATAAAAATTTGGGGAGGACATTGTTTTGGACTAAGCTCCTGCTCCAAGCCCAAAAAACCAGTCCAAGATAGTCACTCATGCTAAAATGTCACATTATCAAACTGAAACGTTAAAAAACTTGACAGATTCCCAACATAGACCAATTTTTTTCCCCCCTAAAAGCAGGAGATTCTGGTCTACCTAAATCAGTGGCATAAGGAAATAAAACATACGCACATCTTGGGGTGTTCTTACGAATGTGCACCTGAAATATCTCTTTATGCTACCTACATGCATTGGACTTTTTGCTTTCTGAATGTCCTTATTAACCAAATATATTCCTCCTTTATTTTTCAGATTCAGTTTCCAGGTAACCGTGAAGTCATTTTGCTTCCCTTATCATAGAACGAAACCAATCACTGTTGTGCAAGACTCCTTGCTACTCCTCCTCATCTGTAACTTTTGCTTTTAAAATCATCCTGAAACCTGTAATGTGTTGGTACACGTTATCTGAAGCAACTTGGATTTTGTGATGTCCTGGACCAAGTAAAATCTTTTGTTTTACTTTCTTTGACTCAGCTTTTATTTTTTTTTTTTTTTTTTTTTTTTTTCAGGTTGACGAGAAGTAAAAGGGATGGGGGAATACTAAAGCGAAGGGGTGGAGGCCTCGCTTCCAATTACCACACGCTAACAAAAAAGCCAGAGGAGAATGTGGCTCTTCCGCAAGCCACCAGAAACGACATTATCAGAGTCCACAGCTCCTCGGTAGTTCTCAAGGGCAAAGACTCAAACGCGAACCACTCCGGAGAGACAGATTCTCCAGTCTTCAGAACTCACCTGTCAAGAGTGGCGTGGACGGCGCCATCTTGTCCCGGAAAAAGAAATTTGTGCGCTCGGGTGAAAGTTCATGAGGGCCGAACCCGGCCCCTACACGTCTCCCCTGCTAAGGAGACTGTGAGTTGGTGTTTCCGGAGCCATCTGCCTCGGGGCCAACCTACTTCCGGTGGCGGAGAGCGGCGCGTCGGCCGCCCGAGTGCGCATGCGCAGCTGTGGGGCGACAATTTATAGCGCTCAGCCCGGCCGGGCGGGGCGGCGCGTCGGCTTTGGCCCTCCCTCCCCAGCGGGCGGAGCCCGCGGTTTCGCGGGGCGGAGCCGGCCCAGTGCTGACGTTGGCAGCCGAACCCGAAGTGTTCGAGGCGGCGGGCTGCACCGTCCGGCTGTTGCGTTACGTTTCCTTCCTCTTTCAGTCCACGCTCCCAGCGGCGGCCAGAGCAGCGAGGGTGGCGGCGTGAGACCCCGCGCTCGTCGCGCCCAGGCCCAGCGGCCGTCGCTAGCGCCCCGCCTAAGAACCTCCTCGCTCCGGCGGCGCGGGCACCAGGAGCCGAGCCTCGCAGCGGCCGGAGGGGAGGCGAGCGAGCGAGCCCGAGGGGTGGCCGGGGGCAGGTCACGGCGCCGTGAAGATGGTCGCCAAGCAGCGGATTCGTATGGCCAACGAGAAGCACAGCAAGAACATCACCCAGCGCGGCAACGTCGCCAAGACCTCGGTAGGAAAGAGCGGGCGCCCCTCTCGGTTCCGCAGCGGAGGCTGAGGCCCGGGCCGTATCGAGTTCTCTTCCCCAGACTCGGCCACCTCCGGGTTCCCATTGCCTTGGAGGGCTGGGGACTCGAGGCTGCAAACCCCACGCTAAGGTGGGGTGGGGGGTCGAGCATGGAGGGGGCACCTGTGAGTGAGAAGCCCCGGAGTGCAGGCGGTGGGAGCGCGAGGTCCCAGTGACTTCTCTGCATCTGAAACAGTGGATTTTCCCTTTTGCAGAGAAATGCCCCCGAAGAGAAGGCGTCTGTAGGACCCTGGTTATTGGCTCTCTTCATTTTTGTTGTTTGTGGCTCTGGTAAGTGTTTTGGGGGCTCCCATCGAGTAGGGTGTTGGGAGAAGGGTTTGGGATGACGTGGTGACAGATCAGTGGTGAGTCTTACCCGCGTTAGTTCTCTGCCCACCTGCCCAGAGCTCCCCATAATTCTGGTTCATCGGAACCGAATGACTTGTCCCACATATGCACAGAGAATAGTGCTCCAGAAACTTCTTCCAGCTTGATTTGTGCTCATGGGAGATCAGAAAGCAGGTCAGGTCCTTGGTAATGATCAAGTGGGAAGAATTTAAGACCGAACGAGAAGGAAAAGAAAAAAAACAACAACTCACAAAACGAGAATTTAGAACGTTTTACGACCCCGTTATCAGTGCCTTTGCAGAGATTATGAACATCGTGTACGTGGATGTTAGACCTTGATTTAACATGTCCCAGAATCTCATGTCTTTACGTCAAAATTGGGTCTATTTCATAAAGTAAAGCTAGTGCGAAGAATCAATTCACGAAGAGAAAATGTATCTGGCAATTCAATATGTGAGGCAGATATTTTTAGATCCGTGAAAGAAACATTTGACATATGCTAAGAAAAATTAGTTATCAGGGCAGCCTGCTGTGAGAGCCTCTGCAAATGGATTACACAATGCCTTTCTTCATTATTATCTTAATATGCAAGCTGTTAATATTGAAGTCGATGTTTCTGTTTTCCACATTCTACTATACTGAGATTTTTGTTTAACATTTCACTTTGCTTTTCTCCCGAATGTACCAATTGGAACCTTTTCTGATAAATGGCCAGGAGCCAAGCAGTTTATATAACCTAAAGATTATTGAATTTCAGCTTTGCGAAAATGAGGAAATGGCACGTATGTTAGAGGGCAGGCTGTGAGGGGATGCTGAAGTATTTAGGGATAAATCAAAATAATTTTATGTTAGAAAAACCTGTTTGCTTTGATGCTTTAAATTCTTTCTAGAAGGTTTACTTGCCTGCAAGCTCTCTTGGACACTTAGATATAAAATTCAGGGAAACTGAGATTTAAGAAAGTAGTAATTTATAAACATCTGTTTCCTTTATTAAGATATAAGCCTGTCTTATTACCATGAAGTTAGTTGGCATTTGCAAAGAGTTGTAGAAGTACCCTTCGATTCTTCATCTGTCTTAATAGATACTTGTCAGTTGCCAGACATGTGTTTTATTCAAAGCTTATTTTAACATTTCCTTTTTCTCTTTACAGCAATTTTCCAGATTATTCAAAGTATCAGGATGGGCATGTGAAGTGACTGACCTTAAGATGTTTCCATTCTCCTGTGAATTTTAACTTGAACTCATTCCTGATGTTTGATACCCTGGTTAAAAACAATTTAGTAAAGCATCCTGCCTCAGAATGACTTTCATATCATCCTTCATGTGTCATTCCAAGGTTTCTTCACAAGTCATTCCAAGTTTTCTAGTCCATACCACAGTGCCTTGCAAAAGCACCACATGAATAAAGCAATAAAATTTGATTGTTAAGCTATAGTAGTGGACCCTACTTATTCAGTCAGTAAGGTTTTTTTTTTTTTAATGTGGTTATTAAAACAGTATGCCATATGGATAATTAGATTAAATCTGTGTAGACAGGGTCTAGATTTTGTTTACCCTACCATGTAAACGCAGTTGGCTTAATTTAAAATTTGGAATCTTAGGTTTTATATAGCTAGGCACTTTATTACTCTCTCAGATTGAAAGCACACTCCCTTATAGGGTCATGTAACTGTCCTGTAATCAGGTGCTTATAAAAGGAACATCCGCAAAGTTAGCCTAGTGTTCCCACGACCTTTAGCACCTAAAAATCTTTAAAAGCTTCTAAATGCCTAATATAGAGGGAGATGCTTATAGCCACAATGTCTGTTTTAACAATATCGTTTCTATTACACTACCTTGGATTTTGCATGAATAAGTTTAATAATCTAAGATACCGTTAAAAAAAAAAATTTTAGTTGAGCATTTTGTAACGTGGTCACTTCAATTATATCAAAAGCTACCATGGTGGAGTGAAGTCAGGGAAGGCTTGTTTAATGTCCCATGAATCATTTCACGAGGATAAGTTTACTCTGCCACAGGGGCTTCCTATTCTAGACAAAATTTGAGGGACAGAAACTAAAACTGGATGCCTCGTCAGGACACACTGTGGAGTCCAACGTGCCATAAGAAATCTTAGTATGTTAGTAGCACTTTTAATACCAAAAAAAGGCACATTGACTAAAAAGTTAGACTTAGTTTAGAAATGCTTTTTCTAGTATTCTGGAAATACTGTTAGGGTACCAGATACGTCAGAGTAAAGTAGCATCTGGAATTAAATGGATTTACTGATCAGGATCAATCCTTAGTCTTCCCTTTGTTGTATGATTTTATAGATTATAGTTGATCAAATTTTCTTTTTACTAATGGTAAGGGTGATAAAGCAGGTTTTAGGTTTTCTAGTCCTATTGAAAACTGCAAGTATTGGCAATTTATATTTACTCAGCCATACCTTCGTGAAGAAAAGCCTGAGCAGTGTCTACGTCACAGTGAGTTGGAAAGAAAGCTGCTCATGTTTGCTTTGTTCGTTGCCTCAGGATGTCTCTTAAAATAAGCTGTTATAAGAGGAACAGAAGGGAAATCTGCTACCTAGTCTATACACAGTATAAACCTCATACAGGGCTTCTGATACCCTCAAATATGGGGGGGGAGTTCCGGAGAGGCGTGATTAATGACATTTAAAACGTTAGCTAATCTCGAGTGGGGAAGGAATCAGCTGACCCCGGGCCAGCAGGTTTCTAACCGAATTGTCACCTGCCCTTCTCACCCAGTAAATCAATCCTTGTACTTGCTTCTCTTTGAAACAAGTAGCTTGGTAAACTATTTTATTGTAACTTTAAAAAAAAATGAAAATTATTGCTCTAAATTCATAGCAGGTGCCTTATTCTTTGCTTTGAGTCTAATCATTCCATATCAGAATTTCCCTTGGTTTACTCTAGATAATTGGCTTTAAGATGGTCTTTGTTCTTTTAATGTACAATGTTGTGATCGATTTGACTGTTAAACTGCTACAGCCGGCATTCGTTCCACACGTGTAAAATTGCATTCCCTTTGTAGTCCATGTGTAATCTCCCAATTGAGTGCATTTTATACTCAGGTTGGAGTTTGCATGTTTGGGTAAATGAAAGCTGTGTCTTATTTGGTTTAACCCTTTAAAAATAAAGTTCCCTGAATATTTGATGCTTTTCTTCTAAAATGATTTTGCAGAGTTCTTACCTGAGCGTACTTTTTATAATTAATAGGAAATTATTTTAAAGGATGCCTAGTATTATGCTGTACTTAAAAGAAATAGCACCCAGAGGCACAGATGTAAATTTTGTAACTGGAAATGGGTAGCACAAATAAGTGAAAAGCACAATTAATTAAATACTCATCTCACTGTTGTCCAAGTCTGGTTCAAGACAAAAGCACAGTTCTTTGATCTGCCGTTCTCAGTTGGATTTTATATATCACTTAATGTTGAACACAAGAATAAACAATAATACTGTATTGGGAGTTGTCTACATTATCCAATTACTCTTTGTGATTTAGCTCCAGCATTTTAAGGAGTTGTCCATTATTTCCTTGTATCTGTTGAGTTGTATATAACGTTGCTCAAAATAATTAAGTGGGCTTCCAAAATAAGTAAAGATTTTCATTGTAACAGGATGCTTTAACTTACATTAAAGGAATGTATATACTCAACTGCAGGGCATGGCTCTTCTCACTGAGGGTACTGGAGTTCTGGTGGCCCGAAGGACTGTCCTGTGGAGCTGGGTGATGTTCGTGGGCTCAGTGGCAGGCTCACCAGCTAAACTTCATAGTGCCTTAGTGTCTGTCAGATTTAGAACATCATCCGATTCTCTACTTCGAAATTATTCTTGAGTTTGAACATCCGTAATGTCAAGAGGTCGGAGTTGGTTTCAGTAGCAAACCATGCCATTGTCTCAGAAGCTTTTCCTGTCTAAACTTAGTTCCTCTCCAGCTGCTTGCACTGCCTTATCTCCAAGTTGGATTAGGACATGCCCTTGTTTGAAGAGTACTAATGAGCAGTAAGAGGCTAGAAATTAAATGGAAGAGGAAAAAGTCACTGGGGCTTGGGTATTTCAGAGTAAACCATGGATATCGGAAGCAGAGCAGTAGGAAGGGCATGGCAAGTACAGTCCGACTGCCTCAATTTATAAACGACAACATGCATTCACTTAGTGCGTAGGTAACTGTCAGAGACAGAGTTCCAGCCGGGAATAATTTCTAACACCCAAGTATCTTTCTGTTGGTGGAGAGGGGACAGGCAATAAAGCATGAGCATAATTGCGATAAGTATTAGCATTCGAAAGAAAGGTAAAAGCTGATCAGTGATCTTTGTTATCACAGAGCTAATTAGGGTAGAGCCTAAAAGAACCAAGGCTGCTGGACTCACCGAACTCGACAGGAATGATTGCAGAACTTACAAAACACTTCTACTTTGATGAGCTTTTTATTTCTGCTTTTAGAAAAGATCTGTTTGTTTGGGTTTTATTTTATTTTTTTCCATGTTGACAATTTAAAGAAGAAAGGTAAAAGAGAATTTGTCCTTTCATGGATGCAATTTCTTTGGAAAATGAACTTAGTGACACATTGGCCCCTGGTGTTACCTGTACAGCATGAAAAAGATCAAATCAGAGATGTTACCACTGTGACATAATTCGAGAGTACACTTAAAATTTTTATTTTGCTACAACCTTATTGTATGTTGTTTTAAAGTTTTGGTTTTTTTTTAATCTGTGGTGCTGAAATTATTTTGTAATACAATCACTTTAAAAATAATTTTCAGAGCTAGCAGGTAGCATGGTAGTTAGGGCACTGGACTCCAACATGGCCAACCGCAGTTCGAGTCCCAGATCATTATGCCAGGCGCATGTGCATGGATGCCCAGAAATCGTGAAAGGAGAATACTGAAAGAGATTGTGGCATGGCATCCCCCCTGGGGGGGGACTTCTTACTTTTTCTTTCTCTCTGAGCACAAGTATCCTATGGCAAAAAAAATAAATAAATAACAATTCGTATTAAGGGGCCAACCTCTTTCTCTCTTGACTGTCTCTCACAAGCACATGCATTCTCTGACAATAAAAAAAACTATAAAAACTTTTAAGACAGATGTTTTATCTTAAAAGATTATGTATTAATCTCAAGAAACTCCATAAACTCTAAGGAGGTAAAATCTGAAGATCTACTAAGCCGCAGTGGCTTT